AAGCTAAAACACCCCATAACAGTGTTAGTATTGCTAGAAAACAGTTCGTTATTCTCTCTGCTGATGTGGGTACCAAAACAGACATTGCAACAACTGTAACAGTGTTTGGTCTCACAGCAAACCAGCTACCACACTGATCCTGCACCTAAAACCTTCAGGCAAGTGAGACTGAGATTAGGGATCTACAAAGGGATAAGTATTTATGAACAAAAGATGTCCTGATACAAACGATTCATATCCTTTGCAAGGCCTCAACTCACTGAGAAACACTAACATCAACTCTGAATCTCTGAAGTAATTCATCCATTTTCTGAAAAACACTGTGTCTATTTCCCAGTCTGTCCAGTCCCAGCACCCACCGAGCTCACCTGAATGATTTTCCTGCACCATGCTCCCTTTTCCCCATTAAAGTCACAGTGGTTGTTTGTTAAATAGGAGTTACTTTAATCAGAAAATTAGGGAAAACACATCTTGTGTTAAATTCCACACTGCACACACTCCAGAGAGCTGAGATGATTAATTCTGCCAGGTGCTCTGATTCCCTGGAGCATCAAGCTGTACATACAGAGCATGGAAGCAGGCACTGAGCACTATTCAGTTATGCATTGTAGCACTGAGGTGAGCTCTTTAAATAGAGCTGGAATTTGCAGAGTATTTAAACAGAAAGCATGCAAGAAGGAGCAGTTTTCCCAAAGATTCACCAAAATTTGCTCTGTGAAAATCCAGCTTAAGTGGTGTCCTCAAGTGAAATCTCCAGTCTAGAATCTGAAACTCTTTTCATTCCTTATCACCACTGTCAGTCCTGAAGTTTATTTTTAGGTACTTTGTCACATAAATGTTCTGAAACAGAAAAAGTTTCCATCTTTCCTGATTTCCTACTGTTCTGAAGAGGAGATTAAGAGATGGAACAAAAACTGTCAGACCTGTTAAAATGAGGCTGTGAGCTTTTAATGATTTTCCTTTTTATCTGACAGTTCAGATCATCTCTCATTTCAGTGGGGAATGAAGAAAATGCTCTTCAGCTTTTTACCCTCCCACTTGAGAACAGACCTTTCCCAGCCATATTCAATAATTCCCATTCTTCAAACTTCATGGTTTCATTAGACAAAGGGCCTAAGTACCCAGCACCTCTGGTAAAAGTTATTCTAGTAATACAGAGCTGGCACATTATTACTTTCAACACATATTATTACTCTTTATTCCCAATGGAATGACAAATTTATAAGCAAATTAATTAGGCTTTAACAATATTTCTTGAAAACTGACACACTGGAGAAAACAGTTTATTAATCATAAACTCAAGGTCCAGTCAGACCCAAGCAGACATCTGTCACAGTCACAGTCATTTAAGAAAACTATGCGAGGATGATGCCTGGAAATCTTCCCAACAGTTGTGTCTGATCTCAATACTGGCAAGTAGGTATAAACCCTCCAGTGTGATCAGTAAATTTATGAATAATTCCATGCTGAATACTGGATATGGCTGTTCTACCAGCAAGCAATGCTTCCCAAATCTTTCTTTGAACCAATGAGCACATAAAAGAATGAGGAAGTCACTAATATTACCAGGATTTTTATAAACCCTTCAACAAGATCCCTACAAAAAGGTGTTTTAGGGAACTAAGCTGCTACAGAACATCCCCATATGCACTCAAATAATTGATTAAAGGAGAGAAAGCAAAAGGTAGGAGTAAACAGACAGTTCTAACCCAGCGAGTGAAGGTGAAGTCGCTCACAGAACCCTGCAGAAAGACGTGCTGCAAATACTCACAAACCTTAAAGAACACATAAAAATAGCACAGTAACAAAGACTGCTGATGAGACAAAGCTGTTTGGAGCAGGGAATTAAACACTGACTGCAAAGCTGCTATGCAGAAAACGTTCTACCAAGAGAAAGTGGCCAAGTGACAAAGGTCATTCAACTCTAGGTAAATACAAAATACTTCACAGGCAGAGCAGCCCTCAACTTGATGGACACACAGAGAGGTCTCTGATCAAAGATCACAGAACTCCAGAATGGTTTGGGTTGGAAGGGACCCTAAAGCTCATCCAATTCCACCCCCTGCCATGGGCAGGGACACCTTCCATTAACTCAGCTTACTCCAAGCCCAACCTGGCCTCGGACACTGCCAGAGATGCAGGGATGGGGCAGCCACAGCTTCTCTGGGCACCATGTGCCAGGGCCTCACTGCCCTATAGGGAAAGAATTTCTTCCCAAAATCCCATCTAACCCTGCCCTCTGGCAGTGGGAAGCTATTCCCATTGTCCTGTTACTCCGGGCCCTTCTCCAAAGGGCCTCTTCAGCTCTTTTGGAGCCACTTTGGGCACTGGGAGGGGCTCTAAGGCCTCCCTGGATCCTCCTCTTGTCTTTTTAAAAATGGAGGTCATGTTTCCCCATTTTCACTCAGTGGGAACTTCACAGGATGCCCATGAATTCAAATATGATGGAAAGTGGCTTAGCCACTTCATCTGCCAGTTCCCTCAGGACCCACAGATGCATCTCATCAGGTTCTGTGGCCTTTCAGGCTCCTTGGATCATCTCAAACCTGATCTTCTCCTACGCTGGGCGATTTTTCATTCTCTCAGTCCCCGCCTTTGCCTTCTGTGGCCTTAGCAGCGATGTTGGGGCACTTGCCAGTGAAAACAGGCAAAAAGTCATAGAGTATCTCAGCCTCCTCCATGTCCTGAGTTAAGTAAGTTTGCCCCTTCCTTCTGGAGATGGCCCACATTTTCTCTAATCCTAGTTTTATCACAGATGTACCCATAGAGTATTTTCTCGTCACCCTTCACATCCATGGCCAGATTTAATTCTATCAGGGCTTTAGTTTCCCAAGCCTGATCTCTGTCTGCTTGCACGATTTCTCTGTATTTCTACCAGACTACCTGCCCTTGCTTCCAGCCTCTGAAGGCTTCCTTTTGTGTTTGAGTTTCTCCAGGAGCACCTTTTTCATCCATACAAGTCTCCTGGCATTTTTCCCTGACTTTGTCAAGGATGCACCACTTCTGAGTTTCATGATCCTTCAAGAAAAGAGAACTAACAGCCAGAGTAACTCTCTCTGAAGGAGAAGTAGAGGCCTTGAGAGCAAAGAAAGCTCCCAGATTTAGAAAACCTGCAGAATTATTCACATTTCCTACAGAAAGGAAACAACCCAGGAAGGTCTGAGATCTGTGGCCCTCTGAAGCTGCCTGCTGGACAGATAATTCCTCTAAGTTGCTTCCAGTTCAGACAGATTCACTGCTTTATTTGTTTTTTATTAATCAAAATAGACTGAGATATGCCTTAATGAAAAAGAATTTTTCTTTTCAAATTCTTTAATCATCCTCATGGATCTTTACAGACTCTTTCCAATGCAGAATAGTTGTCTTTAATTCTGGACACTGTAACTAAAAGCAGCTGCAGCAGCTGCAAAACACTGAGTTGCTCAAGTCAAACTGTTCCTATACGAGGTTCATCCATCTCTACATCCTTTACATCTCATTATTTACCATCTCCTTTTTCCCTGTGTCACCAAGATATCTTCATGAGAAAAGACTTTCTGGTTTTCTTCAGGTGACTTAGCAGAGTACTTGGAATAAACAAGGGATATTCATAATGCTTTGACTGAAATCCATTTATTCAGTGCTTGTTTAGGAGCCTGCTGGCCAGTGTTTAACTCCTTAATGTGCATCTTGTTCATGCTCTAACTTGACCAGCAGTTATATATTCTTAGTGTGGCAGGCCACAGGAGCTACAGAATTTCAATCAAAACACCTTCACCAATGAAACCTGTACTTCTGGGTTTTTGTGTTAGCTTGTCATGATCTATTTTCAGTAAACTCACAGGCCTTCATTATAACATGCTTACATTTAATTCTTGAAAAACTGAATGATTCCATCATTTTTCACTTAACTGGTATCAAAGTGACAAGCCTACAATTACCTGCATTGTTACTCTTTTCACAGACTGGCACAGGAACTGTTTCCTGTAGCCCTCTAGAGCCCTTCAAGATTTGGGAGAAATCACTACCATTTGTTCAAAGTTCTCTCTTTTCCCTAATTTTGTACTTTTTTTTAAGATGTGAATTACTCACAATACTGAATTCCAGTACTGTATTTAACAGTCACCCAAATTTTTATTTGAATAGGAGTTTGTACCACCACAGAATTTATCTGGGGAATATGTATCATTATACCCCAAAGGCTGAACAATTTTTTCTGCTTGCTATGACAACTCCATCATTTCTAGTAATCAACAGGAGGTAGAAACAGCAACAAGGAAGAGGAAGGGAAAGGGAAATGGCTTTGTCTAAGGCAATCATTCATTCAACATGAACAGAATGAATTCTACATTAGATAATATTCTAAAGAATATTCTACATGAATTTAATGACTTTTAGAAAAAAAAAAAGTCTAACAAAAACTGAATACCAAAACCACAGCAAAATCTACATCTGCCAGGCAGAAAAGTACCTGCCTGGCTTCAATATTTTACCTTTTGGATCTCTCTCAAAGAGAAGTCTGTCTGTACAAGATGGACAAACCTATTGATTTAGTACCTCAACTTTCCCATGTGCAAATTTGAAAACTTAAGAGTGTTTTTCATCTGAGGTGATCTGGCAGCTCTGAGTGAAAAGCTCTGCTCACACACTGCTTGTGGTATGGTCAGCAAACCTGTAATTATTTACAGACATTCTTGTTTAACCTCACAGCAGAGCTTGCTCTGAGGATTTGTTTCTCTTCCTCAGCAAATCTCTCTACCTCAGAGCAAAAAGGGTTCTCCTACACCACTCCCTCTGAAGAGGAGCTCTCACCTCAGCAAAGCCAGCTTGAGCCTCTTCTCACCTGCACCTTAGGAGGTACCAAATACAAGGCTGTAAAATGCACAAACACCATAGTCTCCACTTACACAAAGCTTTAAAATCTCATTGATTAACAACTTGGACCAGAACAGGGTTAGCAGGGCAAAAGAAAGTCACAAAAAATACGGAACACACTTTGAAATTCGGAGTACTGACTGTACCTTACAGATTTTGTACAGAGATTCCTGACCGTCTCCTTCTGTGTCCTTAAAATAATCATGTGCTGGATATGTGCGATGGATATCTCGTTTGATGACACTCTCTTGAGCAGAATCCTGCACAAAAAAGGAGAAAAATCCTGACATGTGAACCCATTAACAGTATAATTAAATGTAACAACAGAAAATTCAATGTGTACTCAACATGGATATATTAGATAATTGCTTTAATGACTTCTGCAAAAATGCATTGAGAAGAAATTGAAAATCCTTTGTAGTCTCATGTGCAGTTACAGTTTGGCAGTTTAACAAGAGCAACATGGCATGTTTTCTGTCCTGCAGGCTTAAGATTCAGCTTTAGAACTCTGAAGAAATTACCACTTGTGTAATTGTTGGTGTGTTTTTACTACAGATCATATACTTACTGTATTGCTCTGGCAGTAAAAAAACAAAACAAGAACAAAACAAAACAAATTAGGCTGTGTCTGTCTTGCAAGCTTAAAGCTACTAATTTGAAATGTTGTATGTAGGAATCTACCATAAAAGTGTTAATTAAAAACTCATAAAGAATTTCTGTAAAAAGATAGGAATCACTGCAAACAGACCTAAAGAACACCACTGTGTTGAGGATGAGGAAGTGGTAGCAAAATGTCAGAGCTGGAACTACAACAGTTAATTATCTTCAGGTTCCAGTGAGCTGTACCTTTAGGTTGGCAAATATCAAACAGTGCTTTTCTCCATTACCTTTGTAATCCTAAACGAAAAACCAACAAAACCTTCTCCTGTAACTTGGAATATAAATCCCTTCCAAATAACTTTTATCTTGGAAACAGAGTATTTCTGCTATCGAAAAGGTAAACTCTCAGATTCTGTCTCATTAACCAGGATTCTCCATAAGAAAGCTTCTTTACATCTGCTGGAGTCAGCAATCAGGTCATCTCCCAAATTTCGGTGGTTTTCTAATTACATAAAATCTCTACAGTGAGCATGTGCCACACAGTAATGCAGCTGCCTGGTAAGCTCAGGGAGAAGTCTACAGCAATTCACGACTCCAGTTCCCTTCTGGATCCATCTGTAGCCAATACACTGCAAGGAATCACTCCAGGGTAGATGAGGCAGCCCCAGAGATGAAAGCCCACTGCTGCATTTCTCCATTCCCCTCAATGGCAATGGATGCAAGGAAATGGATGCAAGATTAAACATCACTTTGTGTTGTCCCCCTGAAGTTGATGGCTTCTCTGAATCTTGGTTATCATTAATTTATCCAAATAAAATATTCCAATGTTCAGTGATCTCCAATGTGGCTTTCCCTTGGTTTGACATTAATATGACTAGTACCAGAAAACAATATTCAAGTTGTTTTATTACAACATTTATTACTTGTTTAGTTACAAAACAAGTAGTTTTGTTAGTCACAGAACTCCAGAATGGTTTGGGTTGGAAGGGACCCTAAAGCTCATCCAATTCCACCCCCTGCCATGGGCAGGGACACCTTCCATTAACTCAGCTTACTCCAAGCCCAACCTGGCCTCGGACACTGCCAGAGATGCAGGGATGGGGCAGCCACAGCTTCTCTGGGCACCATGTGCCAGGGCCTCACTGCCCTCACAGGGAAAGAATTTCTTCCCAAAATCCCATCTACCCCTGCCCCTGGCAGTGGGAAGTCATTCCCCTTGTCCTGTTACTCCAGGCCCTTCTCCAAAGGGCCTCTCCAGTTCCTTTGGAACCCCTTTAGGCACTGGGAGGGGCTCTAAGGCCTCCCGGGATCCTTCTCTTCTCTCCCCTGGCTCTCATCTATCCTTTCCTCATAGGAGATGTGTTCCAGCCCTCTAAAATGCCAGGCACATTTTTATATGCTATGAAAGGAAAGGTTACAAAGAAAGGTGATATTTTTATTATGCCAACTGGTACCACTGGAGAAAACAAACACATTTTTATGCTTTCACTGTGTTACCATGATTATTCTCAGGATATCTAAGCACCATGCAATCATCAGCAACCAAAACTAACCACACTCTCTAAATCACAAGTAAAAAACCATAGACTAGTAACAAAAAAATTGTAACAAGCAGTTCTCTAATCAGACTTCTTTAATGATTATTTTCATTTACATGGCTTCCAAATACCAGAGAGGCTGGATAACTGCAGTCTGCCCCCCAGATCCATCTGACTATCCAGTTAAATTGAGAGAAAATGCCCAAAACAGCATTTAAGATCTACCAGAAAAGTTACAGAATCTGTAACAGAATTTTTTTTTAATGCATTTTTCAGCATGAACTTGAGCAGATCCAGGGAAAGTTTCAGGAAGACCACGACATCCAGCACACACAAGGTTTTCCAGTCAAGCTGAGACAATGTGCTTGACTGCCCTGTACTTCCTCTGATCTTGATTGGGGAATCCAATGTGTAACTGAGCACACAGACTGCCCAAGGTAAGGCCAAAACCATTTGTGTAAAGGCCCAAATGCACATGAACTTTTACTGAGTTAAAAGGAGCCTGATTCCTTCAACCCTATTAACAAAAGATGTTTCTAAAAAACCTAGAGGAAAATAATTAAATGGGCCCAAAATAAAATTTACACACAATGACTGGAGAATTAACTCCTTCTCAAAAGACAATCTCTCTTTGAAATACGATAAATCCATAAAGGAAGAAAACCAAGTAATTAGTCTAGAGAGAAGATCAGTGTAGAACTACTTCTTAAAATATATCAAAAATACTTTCATTAAGTTTCTATCCTTTTCCAGGCAGAGTTTGTAGATAGCACTATTCTCGAGTACCAAAGCACATGAGTTTACAAACACATTAATTTATGTTTTCAGACAGTTTTTATTCTTCTGAAAGTCGTGATTGCTTAGTTTATCAGGAAAAAAAGCTAAGGTGAGATGGCTATCAAGGCATTCAGGGTTCTAATGATCTTACTTCTAAAATTCATTTCAGTGCTGCCAACTCAGAGAAAATATTCTACTGAGAAAAAGAATTATCTTCACATGTCAATGCTATGACAGCTGCCTTGCCACTGAACAAGTTCTGCCTCAAGTTGTCTCTCTTCTAGAACAGCTGAATTTCTGCAATGGAACAACTGTACTGGAATGCTGACTCCTTGACACTCCTGCCATTTCCAGCTATCAAGAAGCTGCTGAAATATGGGCAGTTGATGCCAGAAGGAAGATCAACACAGAAATAAATTGAAGAGAACAGAAAATGGTTTATATTGAATAAACATTAAAAGAAAATTAGGGGTACATAAGAAATCACAATGAAGAAATACAGGGCAATCTGTATGCATGCACTTCAGGAATTGTTTTTTAATTACAAACATCTCACACACACTCCAAAAAGAACCTCTAGTCATTTATTGTCACAAGTGGAGCCACTCTGGTGAGGAATTACAATTAGGGAGCAGAAGAGACTCCTGGAGGTAGAACCTTATTTATTTTGTTCCAAGAACTGGAGAATAAGCATTGTATCAGCCAGATGACATTATTAAAAAAGAAAAACGTCTCAATGCTGTGCTGAGATTCAATATTTGCCCCACTTTTCCATAAAATTTCTTTCATGAAAACAGGAACATCCCGAAAGAAAAAAAAGTGCCAAAAGCGTTTGGCTGTGTTTTCCTTACTGTACTGCCTGCATTACAATTTCTGACCCAATATGGAGACATGCAGAATTACAGTTGCAATTAAAGGAATTCAAGAGTTTAATGTGACTACTGAATAAATAATAAACTGGGTAACAGGTGTCTCAAACCTGGCATTCAAACTGAGCAGCACTTCTGACCTCGATCTCCTTGTGCTCAATTTCCCTGGTTAATAATAATTCCCCATCTCAGTGGGGTGTTATGAAAATCAATTAACATCTGAAGCACTGAAATACTGAAGTGATTAGTCCTGCAGAAATGCTAAATAGGAGGATAACAACTCCAGCCTCAAATCCTGATCTGAATGGTGTCTAGTAAGGCACAGGGTTACACAAAGCAAAAACAGTAAGAAAAAGAAAAATAAAGCAGCTCATTACATATGCACTATTCCTTGTGTCCACAACCAGGCAGAGATCCCAGGAAGAAAACAACCCAAAAGAAAAGAACTACATGGGATCAAGAATATATCATTATGTATATAAATAGGCAATTAGCATACTGTACTTCACTTCCAGAGGCTTATCTCTAACCTTAAACTCATTCAAGTTGGGTTTTACCACAAGTGTTTACACACAGAAATAAGATTTGCATTTTCTAGTGGAAGGTATCACTATCCATGGCAGGGGGTTGGAATGAGATGAGATTTAAGGTCCCTTCCAACACAAACCAGTCTGGGATTCTCTGAGCTGGAGACTCAGTTCAAGTTCATCTGCTTGGCCCAAAGGTCTGCATCTTAGGTGAAGCTGAAAGAGCTGCTTTTGCAGCACATTCTCCTGCCTGTACTTCATCTCCTCAGTAGCTAAAAAAAAAAAATAGATCCAGAGTACCAAGGAAAGTAAGAAAAGGGGAAACAAAAATCAAAATGGGCTTTCAACAACTAAAATTACCGTGCCCAGGAAATCTGGTGTGTCATGCTTCTTAAAGATTAGATACTGAAACATTTCTACATGTTATATGGAAAGTGAAAGTTCTTGGACCACACAGACATTCACTACTTGTTTAGCCAGGATATGAAACACATCTTCTGCTGATATCTGTAGTTGGAGGTACCCTCAATAAACCATCTCCTAATCCTGAAAAGCCATTAATTTGAACACTGACATGTTACTGACATTACAACATTGTTTCAATAGCCAAGTGTTTGCTGAAGGAATAGATTTTTGGCAAAACAAAAATGTTTTTTACTTTTTTCCTTGAAGTTCTCTATGGTTCTGTGCAGTTCCTCACAAATACATACGGGAATATGAATAATAACTTTAAGCCTGCTAAAACAAATCACAAACAGACAAAAAATACAGAATACACTAAAGTGATGAGGTCAATCAGCCTGGGTTTGAAATTATCTGCAAAACTAGCATGTAGCTCTGTTCCCTGTTGTTACTGATGTCCTACCAAATTCCTGCTTTCAGTGAAATCTGACAGCACATTGTGCCAACACATCTTATATATATCATCAATCCCTTTCCTCTCATTTTC